GAACAGTAAAAGAAAACTTTAAATATTGGAAATGAGAAGTTGCATTATTCTTGTTTTTAAATATTGTCTTATTTTGGATTTGGGTTTTAAACTGCCTGAATGTACTGAATTGCTGCCATGTGTTTGAATGATGATTGGAACGGCTAAGGCAGAGCTGAGCTGAATGTTCAGACTTGCAAGAATAAAATGTATCTAGACTATTTTATGATATTTATGTAATGTTATAGACACGTGGGCGGTGTACAATACATAAGCACATGCAAGCGTCAGTCAAAAAAAGACCACACCGGACTGAACAGAGCTGCACTCGCTTTGAGCTTATCTTAACACAGCTCACATGATTTAAATCACCGTCTCACAAAAGTTATAAACAAAAGTTTTTATTTAACTTGATCTACACTGACTGATTTAATGATAAGAAGCAGATGATAAAGAGACACTAGCTACCACATGACTTTATATCAGACCTAGACTTTTTATTGTCAAATACCTTCAAAATTGAAGCCATTCTCTATCAAGCTGTGTTTAGTACTAAGTCATTTTATTTGTTCTTTTATCCTAAAGGTTGTGATTTAAAGAATGCTCTTTTTCACACTGAGATCGAGAGTTGGCTCAATAGTAAGCTGTTAACGCTCAACTAAATTTTCAGTCATCACCATAAGTCATGTATACATCTATAATGGTGCGCATCCAATGGTCATACCCGCTTGTATGCCTCAGCTGTCAGTAATTATGAATTAATAGCCATAAAAGTGCAGACATTCAGATTAATGAGTAATATGTCATATTTCATTCATATTTCATTAATATTTCATTAATATTTTGAGTTTTCACTTCACTATTCGAAAAAAGATGTTAACACTATGATACTTTTCATCTGTGTCCTCCTTCCGTCCCAGAACCTTCAGGCAGAGAAGTGGAGTCAATCCTTCATGTTTAATGCACCTAATTTCAACCAGATGGAGCAGTTTGGAGAAAAAAAATAGGCGAAAGCTATAGAATGCATAATTAAAACACAAAAAGTCAAAAGCAGCTCCACAGAGAGGCACATACTCCTGGCTTGGCAAAGTGACCGAAACCTCAAAGGAAAGATTATGGAGTTTACAAAAAGGGAAAGCAACAGAAACCACAGATGTCGTCAAAAAAGGGTTTATCCTTGAGGTTACTGCTTCTACGTAAATGAACGTGGGCGGGAGGGCCACATGAATACCGGGCTTCAGTGCTAAACATAAAACTTACAGCAGCCTATGGGGACACTTATACACTTATGTACTAAAACGCACGCTACATGTCCTCTTGAAGGAGTTATATGCACATGCAAAATTGACAATTATTTCTTTCATCAGCTGTGACATTAACGCCCTTTAAAATGAGTGGCTGTGGCTTAAAAACCCAGGGACGGTGTAAACACTCCAAATAAAACAGTCTTCTCTGGTTTGATGAGTCCGTCCCTGCAGAGATGCACCTCTCTGAGAAGCATTCATTAGAGCACACCACCCACATGCAGTTTACTGAGCCCTTAACCTCACATTACCAATCTCTGCAGGCTGTGTAATCAGTGTGCATCTACATATGTGTGTCCTTGCATGCGCTCAAGTCTACGTGTGGTTTTGGGGGGTCTGTTGGCTTTCCCACTCTGCTGACCATGTTTCCACTTTCCCTTGGAAAATCCTACCAGACCTCAACAGAATTTTTTGATCCAGCAGTTTGTGTTGAGGACTTTGTGTAGAATAACTGTACTGACAAGTGCTTTTGGCAACTATTTTTTAAGTTCTACAGTAGCAAGGAAACACACACATCTGCGCTTATGGTCTTTATTTATTTATTTCTTAAGTGTGGCTATAGGGATAGTTTTGAAAGAAGAAAACTAATTTACTACTAAACCTTCAATGAAGGTTTCAGTGGAAAAGTCAATGAAAACTGCAGGATTATAGTTTTTAAGTAGAAAGGAAATGCAGTTGTGTAGTCCTGGAAAGTCAATAGGCCACAAATAAAGTGTGAGGTGTGGAGCAAATGAGGAACAAGTCTTGGTGAAGCAAAGGAACATCTGGGTTTTTGCATGGAGTTCAGGGATGTGTTTTACACTATTTTTGATGGGGTTTATGGGACAGATTTCCTACTGTTCGCTGGCTACTGTGGTAAAGCGGCAACTTAAATTCAATTTTTCCTGTCATAGTACTTCAACTAAAACTAAAACTATTTTATGGGGGATCATGTGGATTATTCCATGAGTGGTCTCAGGGTTATAAATCTTACTAAGAACAAAGAAATCGATGAACTCAAAAATACAGAGCAAAGGTGGGGAGATAAATGCAAAGCCTGAGGTGGCAAATAGTTTCCCCAGGTGTGAGTCTGGCAAGAGGGAAGGTCCGCGGAGGAGAGTTTTCCAAGGCCAAACTGGCAGGAACTTTGAGGCGGGAATCACGAATAAGCACAAGGAACCAAATGCTGAGCTAGAAAATTGAGGGAGCCTGGCGTAGTGCTGCTTAGCGTGTTGTACAGCTGCAACAGCAAGTGGGTGGATGAGCCTGTCTTAAATACAGCAGGTGAGTGATTGAGTACAAGTGTTCAACTGTATAACCAGCTCTAGCCACAGACCTGAGAGAGCCTCGAAACAGCATGGAAAGCGATTAACTCCACATAGAGACACAGTGGGGAGAGAGAAAAGAAAGGAAAAGAAGCACAAGAGAAAAAGAGAGAAAGTGGCAGCCTGCACTGAAAGCAAGCAGGTTTGCTACAAAAGAATGAATTAAGCATTACTGTGAAGGTTTTCATGATTTTATATCATACATTCAGTGTTACACTGTCAGAAGCTCGCATTAAACACGGCCAAAGGTACAAGTGACCCCTGTAAATCTAACTGTTCTAAGGTTCAGTTTCAGATATTTTGTATTCGGATCTGTTTGATGTCAACAGATCAGAAACGCCACCCACCTGCCTTTCAAATGTTTTGTTTGCAGGGTGCAGCCAATTAGAAGAAAGGTTGGCTTAAAGGGAGGTGGAAGGGAATTAAAATGTATAATTTAATTAATTAATTAATGGCTTCACTGAGGCGCAGTATAAGATAAAAGGAGATTTTTGAACTGTAAATTATGTAAAGCAGCTCTGTTATAGTGCAAGAGTAAAAATTTTACTGGAGCTGAGCACATTTTCTCCATTTTTTTCTATTAATACCAATCCAATACTAAAAGAAAAGCCTGATTAATATAGGAATATAAAAACCTTATTCTCCCTTACAGAGAATATTCTTGATACTTTTGTGACCTTGTGTTATACTTCAGAGAAAGCCATGACATAACTGGAATGGTAGCGACCATAACATGACATCAGATCTAAAACTAAAGCATCATGGGGTCAGTTGTTAGGGAACAGACTGACAGAGAAGCCAGAAATCATGTGGTGTTCAGGCTGTGGATTGAATGTGTTGATGCTAATTCATCCTGATTAATCCCGGAGAGCGATCTGGGTTCAAGATGATGGTACGCCAATCAAACTGTTGCTATGGCTGGTCAGCAGCCAGAATTATCGTAGACATGCTGAGATGTTATTCTTTGAATACTTTGGCTTGATGCACGGAGACAGACAGCCAAGGTGAACTTTGCAGACACAATGGAACCTGGCCAAGGCAGATTTAAGAATTGCAGCGCGAACCACTGAAGAGGAGAAGGTTGTAGAACACCCAAACATTTAGTTTGGTCAGCCTGTGGCCTGGGACAGAGGCCAAACCTTCCTTTTGTGGAATTTAGAGAGAGAAGCAGCAGCGTAAGCAACATTTGAAGGACATAAAATTGCTGGGAAATCTAAAATAGAGCTGGAACTGACTAATTTCCTGTAATACTAATTGCTGTGTGTTCACGCTAAACTAGCTCATAATGCCAAAAACAATATAGAAAGCTCTAGAAAGGAAGTGCAGCAGAAACTAAATAAATAAATGAGTAAACTGGATTTTTTTTTGTTTACCCTGATTATATTTTAAATGCTGATTCTGTTCATTTTGTTCTATAAATAGTGAGTTAAAACCAGTAATAATGAGGAGAGATTCACAGATTTGATTTGATTTTTTTTTTAAATGGCAAATAAAGAGCTAATAACACATACTAAGACCAAGAAAAGCATTTCTTTGACTTTTCCTTAAAAGATAGTCAAAACCTGAATGTCACCTTATTCTGTTATGCATTATGCGGGACACTTACTATCCTCCTTGGTGTTTTCAGTGAACTGCAGGCAACTAGTTCCCTAAAGTTGGGAAACCCGCCTTATGTCAACTAGATACACTTGTTAGATTTTATTGGCTCAGATCAGTTATCAGTTATTTGTGTTACCACTTGTTATTATTCATACGTTTAGAGTGGATTTTAACTAAAAAAAAAAAGGACCACTTTTGTCATATTGTACCAGAGGGGTTTTTTTTTGGTCCCTCTTTTGCCATGCCACATCTCAATTATTTTTGCCTGATTAAACCTCTTCTTAGACTGTGTGGGCATATACGGTTTGTTCTTCACTAACAGCCCCCTAACTCGCCTGCTTTTCTTATGAGTACCAAAGGAAAGACACCTTGGGGGCCTATTTTACATTTCATTCAAAGCACAAGCACAAATGCTGCTAATAACAAGACTTCATTATATGCAAATATTCCAGTGACTCGTGACAGACTGAGTCAGCCAGCAGGCACCTGCATGTCGAGTCCCAGGAAATGAACCAAAGCCACTTAAGGAATCGTATGTATGTCTTTTATTATTTACAACCATGCTTTTATAATGACCAGATACACATCTAAACAGGCACAATAACTTAAAAAGGTCAGGGATAACAAAACTCATTATAGTTTAAACCGTCACTGTCACCGTTACCTATCATCCAGCCTTTAAGAAAAAAGCCCCAACAATTATGTGCACAATTCTAATGGTGAATAGAAAAAAAAAGCCATGCCCTTTCCTATTAGATTTACCCTGTGTTTTTCTTTACATGCATTCTACACGTTGTCTGTACCATATAATTAATTAATTGCCTTCCTGTGAGTTGAAGAAGGACAGTTTATCCAGATAAGTGAGGGTTTTGCAGGTCACCAGTCCGTAATAGGTCTGCAACAGCGAACATTTTCTATCCCTCTGTCTCAGGTCAGTCCACACTCTGTCTAGTTCATGGCTCCCCATTCCTGCTGAGCTGAACATATAGTGGTAACAGCAGGCATTGTAGCGGATGTGTTTTCCTCCTGAGAACCTGGCACTGTGTGTTGGTGCAACACCGGCCTTCTTAGCACAAAGTCCCACAAAAACATCAGCTGGCACAGGTGCGTGGACCTCTGCGGATGCTACGTACACTTTTCGGACCACGTCCTGGGACAGAATGTAAGCTGCCCCTTCACAGTATTCAGGAAGGTATTTGCTTGGGTAGAGAGATGGGGGCAGGTAGCCAGGACTATTGGGATCCCTGTCAGGAGAGTCTCTCTGGATCACTCTGCCCAGATAGAAGTCCTCAGGGTGCCTGTGTAAGCCAAGCAGATAGCCTACAATGGCAGGAAGGTTGACAAACACAGACTCTTTGGTCAGCAGGACAAAGCGTGCCAGAGGGCAGAAGGTGATCACCCAGCGGATAGCCAGCACTGTCTTCTCTGTTGGGCCATGGAGGGATGAGTCAGCTGTAGCATGACCTTGGACCACATCCCCATAACGTTCAGACTCGCTCATGAGGGCTTCCTGTGCAGCAGAAGTCTGAGTTGATCCGATGATAAACAGTATCTGCACTGGAAAGCCTTGGATGAGTGTTTGATTGGCCCATGTCCTCCTAACTGCATCTCTTTGGGTGATATTATCTGGAGAGCTGAAGACAAGAGTGAGGAGGAAAAGGTCAGAGGTTTTGCAGACATCAGGGTTAGCGATAGGATAAGCCTGTGACACATTTTCCTTGGCGTTGCTCAGGTCCAGTTTCCTTGCTTTCTCTCTCACGCCTACAACCGTGCCATCAGCATAAACCCCAGGCGTGGGCTGCAGCAGGTACTCCTCAATGAAATCGGCCCCAAATAACAAGCAGTGGAAGAGCAGCACATTGAAGAAGAGGAAGCACCACTGGTGGGTACGTAGCTTACACAGACAGAACTGGATTAGCAGATAAAAAGATGAAGCATAGTCAATTAGAACAAAAATTAGTTAATAGAACTTAGATTAAATTGAAAAGCTGCAAAGAGTTCACTCTGTACCTGCATGACACCCTCTTCCATCAACTTGTTGTTGTTCTTTTTGTTAGTGACAGATGACCAGAGGACCTCCTGCACTGGTCGGCTTTAGGACAATACTAGCTGACAGACAGTGTTTTCATTTTCATGAAACTCTAGCAGCATGTAACCTTGCACCGAAGCCTCATTAAGAGGAGTGTACCTTGCGTCCTCCATACAACATTAATGACACCTTGAAGGAACAGAACAGTTATTCTGCATGTTATAAATGTTTTAAAAAAAAGTACCAAAACACTAAAACTCCTCCTCCTTCTAGAAGCATACAGAACTTATTAAAATGGTGATATGTTGTATATTGTTTGGCAAGACCAACAACTAGATGCTGTCTTATCAGGCCTCAGGGACATTTAAATTTAAGGTCTGATTAAAAACAAAAAACAAAAAACTAAGAGCGAGAGCCGACCTCAAGTTTTCTGGGAGCTTGCTCAAGTTATGCAGGTCATAAAATATAAATGCTGCTTCCCCAATGTTTAGTTTTGACTTTGGGAATAGAAAGAAAACCAGATGTCCCAGATAATCTTAGACTTTAGACATCAGTGGATCACAAATGTGTTTTTGGTCTCTAACCATTTAGTGCTTTGTATACCAATAGTAGTATTTTAACATCAATGCTTCGCCACACAGGAAGCCAGTGTAAATATCTGGGATATCTTCAACTGCTACTTTTTAAAGAATCTAACTAAAGACATAATTACAGTGCACAACCCTACTGAACACAAATCCTTGCAAAGGTTTATCCAAAATCATGCCAAGACGCAAGCTTTTCAGTTCTTTATGATCAATTAATTTTGTAAATGCCAAATGTAGCTGCTGAAATTTTGCTTTACGTCCAAAAATACACCAACATGCCAAGATGTCAGCATCTGATGCACTAAGCAGTAACTTTAATCTTTGTGTTTAAAACATTACTCTGCATTTTGTTTTCATTTAATTTAAAAGAATTATTATACATCTTAATTAGGTATGATGTATTAATCTGGGTTACACAAGAAAAAGCAGATGTTTGACAAAAGTGGCCCCAGAATGGAGCCTTGAGGAACTCCTCATCATATATTCTTGTACAATGTCTAACTGTGCACTATACAGGTCACACAAAGTAGTCCCCGTCCTTTAATCAGTTAGCGCTTCCCCACACACTTTTACCGGTACGGTCTTTGAGTCGTTTGGTACCGGGCTGCGAGAGTTGAGCCTCAGGTGTGAAATTTATGGTTTTCAGGATTTTTATCAGTTTTTAATGTTATTTTTTTTAGTGTTTTTATTGTTAACTCGGTTTCTCTGGGTATTTTCCCATGTGTTATGAACAAATCTTCTTTTTTTGGTGCCAGTACTGGTTTTATTTCGTTGTATTTATCCGCAACACCTTAAAGGTCAGTCCGTGAAAATATTGTTGGATATAAACCGGTCCGTGGTGCAAAAAAGGTTGGGAACTGCTGGGATACATGATATATATAGTGCCTAATTCTATATCTAGCGTCAAATGTAGCAGTCAAATGTAGCATTAATGTCAAATAAGTCCAACATTGTAAAATTTCTGCTGTAATCTGTAATTACTTGTATTTAGAATGGGCCTATAGTCTATTAGCAAGAAGGCTATATTGTTCTTATTTTAAAAGAGATGCAATTTTATGGTTTATGTGGCCTTTAAGGGAAAAATTAAGTGAAGTAACCAGAGTAAGAGTAACCAGAGTGCTGCCCTCTCACACATGCTCTACACTAGGCAACCTCGCTCTTTAACTTTACATCTGCCATTTCTAGCCCCTTTTCACTAGTACATACTCAGCACTAGTTGTGGATCCTAAATGCTCATATTGTGCCATGATTACAATTACAGACTCACATTACAGACTCTGAATCTGATATGGAGACACTGGCTGCTCCTCTAATTGTTTGCTTTTGTCAGTGTAGAAGAAGAAATATGCTTTGCATACTTTACTAGTTAGGAGTTTAGGGTCTACAAGCATATGAGGTTTTAGCAACAAATTAACCATAACAAATAAATGTATATTGTCATAAACCTAAGTATTGTTTTAAACTCGGAAGGTTCTATAAATAAATAAAATACTTTAGAAAAACAACAATAAAAACAAAAAGAAATGCACCCACCCCCCCAAAAAAAAGAAAGAAAAAGAAAACCCAACACTATTAGATGCATGATCTTTCCATTACCAGTAATAATGTCAATTGTTGGTGTCAACCTGAAAGTTATAATACAGCGCAGTTTTATTATTGAAGTTACACTTTGCAAGTTGTTTAAATTAAGGGGGACACATGGAGAGGGAGGAGGTGATAGGGCAGGGATCACGTAAAGCAGAAATGAAGGCTGTTGAGCCAGATTAAACCTGAGGACCGACCAACATGTACGCCACTGCTGTGTCCCTATGATCGGTCAAATATAAAGTCTTTATTGTCAGAGTTTGTACCTGATGTGGAAAGACAGTCAAACACAGTGGAACTTGGCCAAGGTGCAGGGAGCACATTTAAGTCTTTGAACTGCTATGAACTGTGTGTCAGCAGAGCAGTTTTCGACAGACTGTGAAAGTGACTTCTCATTCTTTGAACTAGTAGGATGTTCATGGCTTAATGAATGATGGGGGGAAATTTTTGATTAAAAAAATTATATAACATTGGTCAAAAATGTTGAAATTACCCTTGAATAGTGTAAAAGTACCAAACCATACTGGCATACAACAAGTAAACATATATAACTATTAGATAATTTGGTTATTGGCAAGAATTTGGCAAGAAATAAAAAGAATTTTTAAAAAAGAAAAAGAAAAAAAAAGAAAAAGAAAGCAAGCACTCTGGGGATCCAAAATAAGTGGAGCATCCTTCTCAATCCAGCAGGTGGCGGTAATGTGCCATAATGTTAGATAGCCACCGTATCCGGAACCGGATGAAGAAGAAATCATTTTGGCGGATACGTTTGGCTGAAGTCTCCCCAAACACTGGAAGATATGGCTGCTTCCATTGACAGCTTACTGGAGGAAATCGCTGGAGTTGAAGACCCAGTTGAAGAACTTCAGAGTTTAAAAACTGCTCTGTTAGCGATCCCTGTCAGTGCCTTGAAGGACTCGGTTAGAGGACAGCGTTTAGATGTCATTTTCTCTCTGCTCAACTCCAGTGACAGGTGGGTTTGGCTCTGTGCATCAGCTAAACTTTGGCGAATAACTGCTGAGTCAGTCAGTGGGTATAATATATGTATTGCTAACAGTTAGCTATATTGACACTAGGTTAACGTACGAGAAGGGTTTATTAGTTAGCCTAAAAGAGCTGCTTGAAACTGAGCTAATTGTTAGCAAGCTAACTGGTTACAGTGTTACTAATAACAGCCCCAGCAGGACACTGTTTGACGTTTAAAACACCAACCTTCATGTTTAGACCATGTTTTTAACCACTGTGCCCTTTTTGGACAATGAAATTGCTACGGTTTTTGGTGAACTGTGATTACAAACGTGCTCAAAGTTCGCATTTAAACTACATGTGTTGTTTAAGCCAAGTTTTTTTGGAGTTGTAAACATGCAGCTGAACGAGTTAATCCAAGCACTGTTTTTAGATTGATTTTATTACTGTTATGTATAACCGCAATTCCCGGTCCCATCTAGTTTTTAGAAGACATTTTTAATGTTGTAATTTTTAACCTGTAATAACAAGAACTATTCTACGCTATACAAGGGTTTATGCTTTTCTTTAAATGACTTGTTACTGGTTTCCTAAGCTTCAATGTTAACTGAATTTGGCCTTAAAGGTGCTTTGGTACATCAAATATTTCCACACTGACAGCTGTGAATGGTATTTTCTAACACTGTACAGAATAACCGTAGTTAAAATAAAAAATAATAAGCTATATTGATTGTTAAATAAATAAATACTCACAGGACGCAGGTGGAGCTATGCGTAGACATCCTTGAACGCATCTTAATGGCCATGAGCCCTGTGCATGTGGTCCAGAACTACAGAGCGGAGCTGCAGGGGGGGTTGACTCACCCAAATGACACTGTTAAGATACTGGCCTTGGCACAGGTAGGCTGCTCGCACACATACACGCACAGAAAGTATCTTGTAAAACACTGAAAATATTAGTTAATCCCACCTTCTTGTGTCAGATTGGGAGAGTGGTGGAGGACCCTGATGCTGTTACTGAAATCCTCAACAACCACGACGTCCTCCGAGCAGCGATCCGCTGCATCGGAGAGGAGAAGATGGCTGTGGCAAAGCAGGTGATGAATAAAGCATTATAATTACACTCCTCACGTTTTATAAAGTGTCAGTGCCTGGAGTATCTGTTTTTCTTTTGTTTTATCTCAGGCGATTCAGTCCTTGTCTAAGCTCAGTCATTCCAAGCCTGGATTAGACAAATTATTCCAGACTGACCTGCTGCAAGTCATGAAGGATGTGATGGCCACAAGTGACATTATTAGATACAGAATATATGAGGTATGTTCAAACTGGGTTATAACATAGTTTCAGCAACCCTTGTAATGATTTTAAATTCGATTTACTTAGTTGGAATCGGTCGACAGTATGACATTACTTACACATACTGACTTAGGTCATTTTATATATTGTATACATGTCATGTACAGAGTTCGACACTTTCATATAAATCTTATAAATCTTATAAAGTTTTTTGTCCTTTCTGCTTCCAGCTGGTGGTGGAGATCTCATCTGTTTCTCCCATTTCTCTCGGTTACTGTGCCAACAGCGGCCTCATTTCTCAGCTGCTCAGCGAATTAACAGGAGACGACGTATTGGTCAGGTAGAACAAACTAAGTTTGACTGCTTTTCTCCTTCTTTCATATGTGTTTCGTCTTCGTTTATGCTGTTAATTTGTTTTTTTACTTTTTTACCAGGGTCACAGCTGTAGAGATGGTTACAACTCTTGCACACAGTCAGCATGGTCGGCAGTATTTGGCCCAGCAAGGTATCATGGATAAGATCTCAAACATGATCAGAGGAGCCGAGACTGACCCCTTCTCTTCCCTCTACCTTCCAGGTGAGTGTCTGTATCATCCCCACCCAAATATATATTTATCTGTCTAATACACAACAATATGATGTAATGCCTTTTACAGTCTTATCCATGCAGTTCAGCATTATTCTGCACTTCATGATGTGAGTATTACTGCTGCAGGTTTGGTGAAATTCTTTGGGAACTTGGCCATCATGGACAGTCCACAGCAGGTTTGTGAAACCTATCCAGCTTTTCAGAACAAAGTGTTTGAGATGGCGCTTGATCCGGACCCTGTGATGATCGGCGTGGCTCTGGACACTTTGGGATTACTGGGATCTAATGTGGAGGGGAAGCAGGTCCTGCAGAAAACAGGTTAGCTCGGTATCCTTGGCTTTATGAAAGAAATTTTCTACATAACATTTTCTTATAAAAGGAAAAAAAATTTTAGTTTAAAAGTTATTCTCTTTTTTCTGACATGACTTTGAAAGGTCTTGGTCTAACAAGACTGTCTTGTATTTTTTGACCATTCTTATGGTTTGACTGTTTTCTTTTTGTTCAGGAGAAAAGTTCAAGGCTGTGTTGTCAAAAATGAGCCAGCTTGCCAGTTCTGGACCTACAGAGCTCAGAGTTCGAAGCTTGGACGCGATATCACAACTTCTCTCCCTACAGGTATTTTTCTGACATGTAAAGAAAAATCATTTTTAATAAAATATTTCTTAACAACGATACAAAAGTGCAAGTTGGTCAATTTATGCATCGCAGCCAGAGCAGCAGACAGAAGACCTTTTGGCCCTGACAGAGTCATGGTTCCACCTTTTGTCCAGCCAGCCCATGGACATGATTCGCAACATCAGCACTCAGCCCTTTCCAGAGCTGCACTGTGGAGCACTGCGGATATTCACTGTAAGCACTGTTTTTGTTTTTCACCTTCTAATATTTCCTCTTTGTGGCTCTGACCACCTGGTTACCTGTAGAAATAAAGGTCTCTATCTGATAGTGATATTTGGAGGGGGGCACAAGTGTATATTGCTCTAATAATATTTGTCTTATATAATATCACTGGATATCTGTGCATATGTGTCTGCCAGGCCATTGCCACTCAGCCATGGGCCCAGAAGCTGATGATTAACACTCCTGGATTCATGGAGTTCATTTTGGATCGTTCAACGGGCCAGACGAAGGAGGCCAAAGATGCCAAGTTTGAACTGATTGGGGCACTTGCAGGTTCATCAACAGCAGCTGAGATCCTGGGCAGTCAGCACTACATCCGCGTGAAAACTTACCTCAGAGAAGGACCTTACTATGTTTCAGCTGTTGCCGCAGTCAGCACTGAGGGAGCGGACTGAGTCAAATTAACAATAAACCAATTCAAATGCACTTCATGGGCTTCTAGTTGATGCTTAAGTAATGGATAAGTGGCTGAGTGATCTGCCTGTGGATTAATATAACATACTCTGCAAACCCTACAGCATCTGGATAAAAGATTACCATGTAAAGGATGATTAAAAGTTCTTAGAAACAAATAATTTATCTTCAGTACTTGCACGGCTAGGTTGCAGCTGCACTACATTCAATAATTATCAGTTTTTTTTGACAATGACATCACCAAATTCTTGAGTATCTTATCTTATAACTTGAATTCAGTCTATATTTTCCCATGAAGCATCTGCGCACAGTATAGGTCAAACAAGATGAACCTAATGAATGAATGAGTACTATACTAGCATACCCACATCTTATCTGTAAAGTCCCCACATACCGTGTTATGTTAAGGTGTTTAGTTTAAGCGTCTTTACCAATACTTAAGTAATAATTTAAAAAAACAAAACATCCACACACTTATACAATTCCACATCAGTTTATTTGGATCCAAACAATTTAAAAGGAAAAAAACCTTTCCATTTTTTAGTTTTTTTGTAATTAAAGAAGTTTCTGTCTCGCAACCTGTGTATTTCTTTACTTTTCATAAACTTTAATCTCCCTAATGAACATATTTTATTCCATTATTACATACTGTATAATAGTATTGGGAGCTTAGTAATTTTTTAAATACTATAATTGTTGCCTTGATACCCATGTTATGGTCGGTCCTTGATTAACTTTGTTGTTCTGCTGCTCATGTAGCACATAATGGGAACCTAAGTAAAAGCTCTGGAACCAACTAATATAACATGGGTGAGACTGAGAGGTAGAGGTTTTTTTTTCTCCGTAGCATTTCTTCTGTGCCTGTCAGTGTAAAAAATAAATGAATAAAAATGGAGGGAACTTTCATGGGAAATTATTTAACGCCCTGATTTAACCACAATAATAATAATTAAAAATTGATAATACTTAGTAAGTATTCTAAGTATATATTCAGTGCAAGGACAGAAGCTGGAAACGTTTAAATCATCTCCACCAGAGGGCAGCATTTCAGCTATTTTCATTTTTTTGTACCTTTTTCAATCTTTGCTTTTGTTTCTCTGTGAAATTTATAACATCAGATGGCTGTTTGAATGAAAATCGTGGCAATTTTAGAAGATTACCTTCAGTCCAATCTGGGCTATGCAGTAGCTACAAATATATTTTAACATGAAAACATATTGTTAAATGTGTTTTAAAAACCATCACATTAAATCACAAATAAGCAAATAGGTTTTAAGTACTGCTTTCACTGAATACTGTGTCCACTTACATGTCTAAATCATTAACCTATAAGTGTCTTATATTGCTTTCTTCTTTAGACTCTCACTATTTAAATTAAAACAAAAAAGGTAAACTGAAAAGTAACCAGTAAGTTAAGGTACAAATAAAGTAGTAAACAAGTCCTGGTTTTATGTTGTATGCAGTATCCAAATGACATAGTGCATCTCTCTGCCAATAACCCATCAATTTAAATTTTAAACAAACTAAAAACCCAATAAATTGGAAAGCACAGAGATTTTAACATAGAAAAATTAAACCCAAATGCAACAGTCGTGTTACTGTTTTAGGTTTCCTTTAGAATTTGAACTCTGTGAAGTGGAGAGTTCGAGCTCAGGGCAGTACAGCAGCTCCACACACCAGATGGAGACCGCGATGGCACAGGGGAAAGGTCCAACTTCTCACTGAAGATAGTATCACACCTTATGTAAGCTTTTAGACACGGAAGATAAAACCAGTGCAGTTTGTACTAATGATAGATGTTACAGACACTGGTCGTTTTCATCCTTATCGGTGTGTCACGTCACTACAACTGTGTAAATGCAGAGCTGGCAGAACGTGAATTAAACAGCTCTGTAGCTGTAGCATCTACAGCTGGAACATAGTTATGTGTTCTCGGTGACTGTGGCTGAAGCTTGCTGTGTTCGTGTGTTTGTCCCATTTTCTTAAACGCAGTATATTTGAAATACTTCCAAATTTTTCACACACACTTAAAGAGGAAAGAACAGATTTGTTTTTTGAAGTCAAAGCTCAACATAGCCGTGGCCTTGCTTCTAGTTGGGAAATTCACTGGGAAACCTGAGAGGGATTAGCACTGCATCTTGCACAAATTTTCACTCAGGCTGTAGGAAAAAGTAAATTATAATTTAAATATTAGAAGCTGCTGTTATTTTTGTGTTTGTTTGTTTGTTTTAGGGTTTATGGCCATGACTCAAGAGTTAATCTGATTTTACCACATTTAACAAGAACATCTAAAGTGAGGAGATTTTTTTTTATCCAAATGTGCAAAGGTTAACTTCACTTTAATGACATGATGTTCTACAAAAATCACTTTTCAACTCAATGCCGTGACTCGGGAACACACGAAGTGCTTCTAAACTGCACCAAGATTGTTTAGCAGAAGAATTTATGAGTTTTCACAAGCTACCAGCAACCACTTAAAGATGTTTTTTT